AGGGAGGGAGGGAGGGAGGGAGGGAGGGTGGGAGGGAGGGAGGGAGGAAGGAAGGAAGGAAGGAAGGAAGGAAGGAAGGAAGGAAGGAAGGAAGGAAGGAAGGGCAATAGCACTTAGACTTATATACCTCTTCACAGTGCTTTTACAGCCCTCTCTAAGCATACAGAGTCAGCCTCTTGCCCCCAACAATCTGGGTCCTCACTTTACCCACTTCACAAGGATGGAAGGCTAAATCAACCTTGAGCCTGGTGAGATTCGAACTGCCAAATTGGAGGCAGCTGGCAGTCAGCAGAAGTAGCATGGCTGGCTGGGGAATTCTGGGAGTTGACCTCCACCCATCTTCAAGTCATTAAGGTTGAGAAACGCTGGGCTAAACCAAGTCCTATCACTCATGGCTTTGATGAAATCTCATTTCAATAGAATAGAATAGGGATAGGGATACGGATAGGGATAGGGATAAGAAGAGAAGAGAAGAGAAGAGAAGAGAAGAGAAGAGAAGAGAAGAGAAGAGAAGAGAAGAGAAGAGAAGAGAGTAGGGTAGAGTAGAGTGTAGAGTAGAGTAGAGTAGAGTAGAGTAGAGTAGAGTAGAATAGAATAGAATAGAATAGAATAGAATAGAATAGAACAGAACAGAATAGAATAGAATAGAAGAGTTGGAAGGGGCCTTGGAGGTCTTCTAGTCCAACCCACTGCCCAAGCAGGAGACCCTATTCCATTTCATGGCTGCCCAGACTCTTCTTCAAAGCTTCCAATGTTGGAGCATTCACAACTTCTGGAGGCCAGTTTTTCCCCTGATTAATTGTTCTAACTGCCAGGAAATTTCTCCTTCATTCTGGGTTGCTTCTCTCCCCGTTTAATTTCCATCCCTATGGAAATCTAGGTAAGAAATGATGTCTGCCGCAATCAAAATACCTGCGAAGGCTCCCCGATTTAGGGATTTTAATTTAAGATTGGGGAGACTTACTTGCCAATGAGGGGGATTGCGAAGGAGGTGGCTGGGAGGCGCTGGGAAATCAACAGCAGAAAGACAGACTGAGCCAAGAGGATGGAGATTGCTAAAGTCATCTTCTCACCACCTGGGAAGTAAGATGGGAATTGAACCTCAGAACGTGGAAAAACGAAAAAAAAAAAAAAACCTATGCAGGAGGAAGTCATGAACAAAATTATGGACTGTGCTGAAATGAGTAAATTGACATTTGAAATTAGGGAACAAGAAGACAAACCATTTTATAAGATATGGGACTCATTTTATCAGTGGTTAGACAAAAAGACATGGTGATGAGATAGGCTAGGAAATTTTATAATATAAGATTAACAGAATGATATGGAATAGAATATAAAAATACATAACCATTGGATGAATCTGTAATACAAATTTATAATAAAATGTAGAATATCTCGTATAAAATGATGGAACAATAATTTAGTCAAATGACTGACCAACAACTGGTAATGTATAAATATATGTTGGATTGACAATGTGAGAATCTATACAACCTGTGAGCGAGGACTATGAAAGGATAGCACAAAAGATTTGTAACCAACTGACACACACTGTATGTATATAAAATGGAAGATGGTTTTATGTTTTTATGTTTTGTTTGTGTATGTTTGTTTAAAAATTTTAAAAAAAAAATTTAAAAAAGAAATTCTGCCTCAATTTTTGACACCTCTTCGCTTCCTAGATTTATTGCCTTTTGGAAATGGATTCCACACTCGTCTCCTTTGCAACCCCATCAGCTATTTAATAGATTCCCCTTAATCTCTTTCTATAAAAGTGAAATGCCACTCTATGCATCATCACAAAAATCTCCAGAACCGTAAAGCCTACAAAGTTTAAATTTGGCACGTATGTTCCTCTTGGCTTCTTAGGGGCTCACTTAGAAAGGATTTTTCGAAATGACCATCAGAGCATTTAGAGTATTTTGCATATTATTATTATTAACATGCTCTGGTGCTAAGCTGTTCTACTCCCCCTCCCCACCTGAAAAGAAATCTGTTCTAAAGGCAAAACACAAGCAGAGGAGAGGAGTTTCGGTTTCAGTTGAGCACCAAACTGCCTTAGTACAGAATAATTGAGCTAAGCCCCGCCCAGGCTCCTTGCTGTCTCCTTCTTGTTCACACTGCAAATACTGTTTCGGTTTCCAAACAGCCCTCAACTCTCTCACACATACTGACAGGACGCTAGCCAGGTGAATACCGATGGATGCTTGTAGGCAGAGGCAGAATTTTTTCCCCCTTATTTTCCTCCCACAAAACTAAGCCCGACCACATAGTTTCGTAGCGAAGCACAGGTATCGAGCTAGTAAATGTAATAAATGCAGGTAGTCCTCGACTTACGATCGCAATTAAGCCCAGTGTTCCTGTTGCTAAGCGAGATCATTGTTCGCTGAGTTTTGGCCCATTAGGGCGACCATTACTGCTGGAGTGTATAAGTGAATCATTGCCATTATTCAGTCAACAACATTGTTTTTCAGTGAATCCGCCTGTCCCATTGACTTTGCTTGCCAGAAGGCCACAAAAGCGGATCATGCACCACAAATATGAATCAGTGGCTGTCATAAGCTACTTGTCATGTCCTGGTCACTTCCCATCTTGACTATTACAACCCGCTCTACATGGGGCTGCCCTTGAAGAGCATCCAGAAGCTCCAGTTGGTGCAAAACTGCAGCACCCCGCATGGTTTTGTACAGACCCCGCTGTGCACATATGTCACCTCACCTGCAGGAGCTGCATTGGCTGCTGATTGGCTCCCAGGTGCAATTCAAGGTGTGCTGGTTGTCCTCTTTAAAGCCTTTTGTAGCTTGGGACTGGGTGATAGGAGGGACTGTCTCTTGCCTATCACATTTACTTGACCCATCAGAATGGGGGGAGGCAGGGAATGTTCCGGGTCCCATCCCCGAGGGTGATACACCTGGTGGGACCCACAAGAAGGGCTTTCTCCGTGGTGGCTCCTTGTCTCTGGAACCACTTTCCCTCAGAGATTAAAATGGCCGCCACTCTAATAGTCTTCCGGAAGGTGCTGAAGCAGGCCTGGGGAACCCAGAGCAGGATGAAGCCCATCAAATAGCTCATGTGATCTGCTGTCGCTGGCACGGGGAGTGGGAAGTGGCGAGCGATTTTGTTATATCGTACTATATTAATTTATTCTATTCTTTTTGTTAGTTTTTTAAAATATTTTTTAAATGTGGTTTTATATTCTGAAAACCACCTTGAGTCACTGTGGGCGAATAGGTGGCAATATAAATAATAAAGCAAAACAAAATAAAATAAAATAAAATAAAATATGGATCAGTAGTCAAGTATCCAAATTTTCATCACCTGACTTTGGAGACGCTGCAGTGATGTGCTGCCGGTTTGCACCGGTTCTAGCAACCTGGTAGCACCAGTCAGCAGTTGGCCCCACCCCTTCCTGTCCTATATTGCCTTTGTTTGTAACTCAGCTGAATCGCGAGGCAGAGCGGATTGCCACGCATCAGCTGTTTCACTCGCCAGCGCTTGACCGTAAGGTAAGTTTTCATGCTTAAAATTACCCGTTTTAGAACGCTCCGGGAGCAAAGTACACACCCACAGAACTGGTAGTAAAAAAAAGTTTGCATCCCACCACTGGGATGCTGCAACGGTCATAAGGGTGAAAAATGGTCATACGTCACTTTTTTCGGTGCCACTGTAATTTTGAATGGTCCCCAAATGAAGTGTTGTAAGTAGAGGACTACCTGGACATAGATATGCCTAAACTGGACCTCAGGAAGAAGTCTAGGAGGCTGAAAAGGGCCACTTACTGTCAGCAGGCAAGTAGAAGACGAGAACGATCATGAAGGCGATGAGGATGCAGGGAGTGACTATGTTGATGATGTAAAAGAGAGGTTTGCGCTTAATGATGAGGTAGAAGGTGACGTCCTGGTGTTTGTTGCTGTCTCGAGGGACCAACGAGTTGATGTTTTTGCGAGCCGGGCGGTGGATAATCGCCCATTCACCATTTTCTGATTGGGCAGAGAGAGGGGAAGGAGAGGGAGGGAGAGGGAGAGGGAAAAGAGAGAGAGAGAGAGAAGAGGAGAGAGAAAAAGAGAGAACAGAGAGAGAGAGGAAAGACAGGGAACAGAGAAGAGAAAGAGAGAGAGGAGAGAGAGAAAGAGAGAGGAGAGAAAGAGAAAAGAAAGAGAAGAGAGAAGAGAGAGAAAAAGGGGAGAGAAAGAGGAGAGAAAAAGAAAGACGAGAGAGAGAGACAAGAGAGAGAGGGGAGAACGGGAAGACAGAGAAGAGAGGGAGAGAAAAGAGAGAAAGAAAAGAGACTGTGTGAACCATGAAGCAGCTTAAAGAGACTATCCCACTGGCCTTTCCCAACCATTCCCATAATCCCCAGGCAAATTTGAAGTCCAATAAACATGTATATTCAGAATAGAGCTAGAAGGGACCTTGGAGGTCTTCTAGACCAACCCTCTGCTTGAGTAGGAGATCCTATATACCATTTCAAGTGGCTATCCAGTCTCTTAAAAACCTCCAACGATGGAGCACCCACAACTATTGTTCTCACTGTCAGGAAGTTTCTCCTAGGTTGTTTCTCTTCTTGATGAGTTTCCATCCGTTGCTTCTTGTCCTGCCTTCTGGGGCTTTGGAGAATAATTTAATTCCCTCTTCTTTGCAGTAATCCCTCACATATTGGAATGCTGCTATTATGTCACCTCTAGCCCTTTTTATCTCTAGGCTAGCCAAACCCAAATCCTGCAACTGTTCTTCATCTGTTCTTCATATATTTTAGTCTCCAGGCCCTTAATCAGGGGTGGGATTCAATTGTTTTAACAACCAGTTCTGTGGGCATGGCTTAGTTGGTGGGTGTGGCTCGGTGGTCATGTGACTGGGTGGGCGTGGCCAACTTGACATCACTCATGTCAGGGGGCGCTTCTCCTCGCCTGGCCTCTCATGACAGTGGAGATGCTGTGAAAAATGATCATAAGTCACTTTTTTCAGTGCCATTGTAACTTTGAATGGTCACTAAATGAACTGTTGTAAGTCAAGGATTACCTGTACAAAAATACAGAAAGCTTCTTTGCTTGCAAAACGATGCCCTAAATACCAATCATTAGATTAAAAATACCTGCAAGCCAGAGTTACAAGTCAGGCAGGGTGCCAGAGCACATTGAGGAATTAAAAAAGTTAAAATGCAATGATAACTATCAGCAGCCAACTCTTGCTCATAAAGTGAAACCCTTTAGCAGAGAGGTCATTGAAGCTCTCCAGAAAAAGCACACCCAGGAAAAACAATTGTTAGCTCCATTTGCACCACTTTAAAGATACCGGCTGGTCTCACTCACCTCACAAAATATCCTAAGGAAATTATACAGATTTAAGGAAAGGTCACATGCCCCCCAGAAAAGCAGTAAAAAAAGAAATCAGTGCCAAGCTTGCATCCTGCCTCTTGGAAGTACACCCCAAAAGGACAGTGCCAGGAACCACTAAAGCAGTGAAGGAAGACACCGCCCCCCCGCCCCGGATAGAAAAAGAAACCATGAGGCAGGAAAAAATTCAAACACAATAGAAATAATTAAATCACAACAGTAGCTGTTGCTTGTTGAAGCTGAATAGGGGAAATTCTCCCATCAATAAACACAGGATTAAACTTCACCAAGCACAGAATCAACCTTCATCAAAAACCAGTTTTAGACCAAAACTCAGAAAGGGTTGTAAACTCACATTTGAATGTCAATCTTTCTAGCTAGCCAAGAAGCCTTGCTGAATGTCACTCATCTTGGTTCTCTGTCACTAAAAGCTTGGCTTCATTATTCAATTATTTCTTCAAAGTGCTGATTGTCTAGGGAACTATTTCTTCCCAACAGCAGTGTAAAAATCTTAAAACAACCCTTCCCCTTTAAGGAAGCCCCAGAGGCTCCGGAGACAGGAAGTCTAGGCGTACTAGCAAGAATGTAATAAGGGTGGGAAAAAAAACAAAAGGAGTTTGCTTCTAACTACCGGTTCTCCAAACTGCATAGAAAGTTAACAGGGAGTTCTATAGAACGGGTCAGAACCGGTAGAATCCCACCTCTGCCCTTCTCTGCACTTTTTCCAAAGTCTCAACATCTTTTTTTGTAATATGGTGACCAAAACTGGATGCAAGTATTCCAGGTGTGGCCTTACTAAAAGGCTTTATAAAACAGTACTAGTGCTTCACACGATTTTGATTCTATTCCTCTGATTATACAACCCAGGATTGTATTAGCTTTTTTGGCTGCTGACACACACTGCTGGCTCATATTCAAGTGATCGTCCACTAGGACTCCAAGGTTCCTCTCACAGTTACTCTTTTTGAGCCAGATCTTGCCTAATCTGTACTTATTATACCTTTGTTTTTTCCTGCCTAAATGTGAAGCTTTGCTTTTTTTTTTTTTCCACATTAAAATTACATTTGTTGGACAGAGCCCATAATGTTCCAAGTTTGTCAAGATCTTTTTGGATCCTCAGTTTGTCTTCTAGGGCAGTGGCCCCCAACCTTTTTTGTGCCACGGCCTGGTACCGGCATCACAAAATGATCCGCAGCGCAGTACCGGCATCAGCACTTATGACAAGGCAAGGCGAGCCGAGCGACTGGCCAGCCAGCCGTCCCCTGCTTCTCCCTGCCACCTTCAACTCCTCCTTTGTACCTTTGTCGATGGGCTTCGCTTTGGGACGGCTTTGGGACGGTCACTCGGGTTGCCTTGCCTTGGGTGCTGAAAGAATCATCGCGCCTTAGTTTCGTTCGAAGCCCCCCCCCCCCCCTTCGAGGAAACTAAGGCGCGAGGATTCCTTCAGGACCCAAACGCCGCTTTCCAAACGGAAAAGCTCACCCGGAAGCACTTTCTCGTCAAACATGATGGCGGCGCCCAGCAAACCGGCGGCCCAGTAGGATATGTTCCACGGACCGGTACTGGTCCATGGCCCGGTGGTTGGGGACCCCTGTTCTAGGGTATTAGCTATTCCTGCCAGTTTAGTGTCATCTGCAAATTTGAGGAGTTCCCCTTCTATTCCCTCATCCAAGTCGTTAATGAAGATATCGAAGAGTCCTGGGCCTAAGATGGAGCCTTGTGGTACCCCACTGCTTACTTCCCTCCATGTCGATGTAGTACTGTACCATCAAGGACTACTCTCTGAGTACAGTTTGTCAGCCAGTTACAAATCCGCCTGATGGAAATGCAGTGGATCAGCTATCAAGATGGGGTGGGCAGAGCGACCTTCGGCTGCCCCAAATTCAGCAACGCAAAAACAAGAGATTCTTCAGTCCTTCCCTTTTAGAGGTGCTAGCGAGATTAGGGTCCCGTTATGTAGATCGGTGTTCGCCAACCAGTGGTCTGGGGACCACTGGTGGTCCGCAAGAAAATTTTGGTCACCCCCAAAGCAGTTAATCCGGGCTGCGCAGGAACACAAGGCTTGTGTCGCTTGCAATGAGAACAACACGAGGGAGTGAGGAGAGGGGGGAAAGGGTGGAGGGGGGGAACTTGCCCCATGCACCCCACGTGTCTTGCCTGGCCACTGGGCTGCTTCTTTCCGCTTCTTTCTTTCTTCTGCTTTTGGCTGCACGCAAGGAAAGCAGCAAAGGTCTTTCTTTCTCTCCCCCAAACTCTGCCAGAAATGAGTCTTTGGGATCCTGCAAGGCCTCCTGCCCCAAGAAGCTGTGCCGGCATGACAAGTCTCACAAAGATTCATTTCTCGTGGAATTTGGGGGAGAGAAAGAAAGACTTCGACAGCTTCTGCTGCTTTCCTTGCATGAAGTCAAAAGTCTCTCTCTTTCTCCCCCTGAGAACGGAGCTGGAGACGGCATCCTGCGATCCCAAATAAAGATTGATCGATTGGTAGGAAAACAGGGTGGAGAATTTTCCTGCAGACTTTTTTTGGGGGGGGGGGATTTTCCCAGGATCTCTGGTCCACGGGAGTTAAAATTATGAGTTTGGTGGTCCCTGAGGTCCAAAAGGTTGGTGGTGTAGATAATAGAACCTTCTCTGTTTAAAAAAAAATCATTAAAAAAGGCTTTTAATGTGGGGTTTGTTTGTTTGTTTTACAATTTGACATTGGGGTCTGGTCTTGGAGCTTGGCTGGGTTGGTGGCAAGGGTTTGTTTGTTGAAAGGGTAGATTATGGAAAGAAGAAAATAATGTTGTAAACTTAGGGTAATATACAGTATAAATGTACTAGTAACTGCTGTTAAGAAGATAAAGAGGTCTTCTTCCTTTCCTCTTCCCTCCTTTGCCTCTCCTCCTCTAACTCTCCTTCCCGCACTATCCTCCTCTCCCCCTCTCCCCCTCCTCTGCCTCCCCTCTCCTCCATCTCTTCTTCTTCTCTTCTTCTTCTTGAAGGTCTCAAGCGATGACGCTCCCACAACTTCCGAGGGCAGCTTCGGTTCCATGGGTGGATTGTTCCCCCTGTCCGAAAGTTTCTCCTTGTTTCCAAGTTGAATCTCTCCTTGTTCAGTTTCCATCCGTTATTCCTTGTCTGGCCTTCAAAGGTGCTTTAGAAAATAGATTGACCCCCTTCCTCTTCTCTGTGGCAGCCCCTCAAATATTGGAAGATGCTCTCCTGTCTCCCCTGGTCCTTCTCTTCCCTAGACTAGCCAGGCCCAGTTCCTGCCACCGTTCTTCATATGTTTTAGCCTCCAGTCCCCTAATCATCCTGGTTGGTCTTCTCTGTACTTTTTCTAGAGTCTCAACATCTTGTTTACAGTGTGGTGACCAAAACTGGATGCAGGACTCTAGGTGTGGTCCTACTAAGGCTTTATAGAGTGGTATTAGTGCCTCCCTTGGTCTCGATTGTATCCCCTCTGTTAATACAACTTAGGATTGCATTGGCTTTTTTGGCTGCTGCTGCACACTGCTGGCTCCTATTTAGCTGGTTGTTCACTGAGACTCCAAGATCCCTCTCCCAGCTACTCATCATCCTTTCCTCTCCCTCTCTGTCTCTTTCCATCTCACCTCTTCTTCCTCTCCCCGCTTTCTCTCCCCTCTCCCCTCCATCTCCCTCTCCCTCTTCATCTCTTTCCCTCTCCCCTCCTCTCCCTTCCCTTCTTTCTCTTCTCCTCCCTCTCCCCCTCTATCTCTGTCCCTCTCTCCTCCTCTGCCCTCCTTTCTCTCTCTTCTCCTCCTCCTCTCTGCTGTATCTTCCTCACCCTTTCCGTCTCTTTCCCTCTCCCCTCCTCTCTCTCTTTCTCTCTCCTCTCTGCTCCATCTCATCTTCTCCTCCTTTCCTTCTCTCTCTCCCTCCCCTCTGCCTCTCCCCTCCTTTCTCTCTTCTCTCCTCCCCATTTCCTCTCCTTCACCCTTTCCTCTCCTTTTTTTTTCTTTTTTGGTCTTCTATTTCTGTCTTTGCATTTTTTTTTTTCACATTATTTTTCCTTACTTCCTCTTTCGAAAATATGAATGCCTTGAAAGAAAAGCCAGGATTGCTGGAACAAATAATAAAATATACATCACAACAAACCAAACATTGCTTGGACCCCAAAGCCTGGTTAATTTTACAACCCACCAACCCAATTTGTGGCTTGTGGGAAATTGGCTGCTGTTTGAACCCTGTTCCTGTGACTTGAAAACCTCGGGTTAGACTGGCTTGTACAATCCAGCCTATTGTGGCTGCATTTGCAAGCCAGAGTTAAGCCGACCATGGCTTGGGTGATTGGAAAACCACAGCAGCCCGGCAAACATTTGTTACCTTTAAAACTTTCCCGCTCAATGTTGATCCATTCCACAAGATGCACGCGATTGGAATTGTTAACGGATTTGAGCTGCAGGTTGATCTCATTGGCGTTGTACCTCAGGGAGCTGGTGAAGACAAGAGAGAAGGTCTTGTAACATCTGGGCTGCCAAAGTAAGGCTGCTAACAGCACTTTCTGAAAATGCCCGAACCCATGGATTGTTAAGAAGCAGAATAGGATAGGATAGGATAGGATAGGATAGGATAGGATAGGATAGGATAGGATAGGATAAGATAGGATAGGATAGAAAATAGAAATAAGAGTAGAATAGAATAGAAAATAGAAATAAGAATAGAATAGAAAATAGAAATAAGAATAGAATAGAAAATAAATAAGAATAGAAAATAGAAATAAAAATAGAATAGAAAATAGAAATAAGAATAGAAATAAGAATAGAATAGAATAGAATAGAACAGAAAAAGAATAGAATAGAATAGAATTAGAATAGAATAGAATTAGAATAGAATGAGAATAGAATAAGAAAGAATAGCATAGAATAGAACAGAATTAGAATAGAATTAGAATAGAATAGAATTAGAATAGAATTAGAATAGAATAAGAAAGAATAGCATAGAATAGAACAGAATTAGAATAGAATTAGAATAGAATAGAAATAAAAAAGAAATAGAATAGAATTAGAATTAAAAGAGGATAGAATTAGAATAGAATAAAATAGAATAGAATAAGAAAGAATAGCATAGCATAGCATAGCATAGCATAGCATAGCATAGAATAGAATAGAATAGAATAGAATAGAATAGAATAGAATAGAAATTAAAATGGAGTAGAGTGGAATGGAATGGGAAGGAGTGGAGTGGAGTGGAATAAAAATGGAATGGAGTTGAATGGAATGGAATGGAATGGAGTGGAGTGGAGTGGAGTGGAGTCGCATGCACTGGAGTTGAGCAGAGCTGGAAAGAAAAGAAAAAGAAAAGAAAAGAAAAGAAAAGAAAAGAAAAGAAAAGAAAAGAA